AAATTCCAAAAGAGCCAAGAGAAATAAATACACGTCTACAAAAAGATCTATATGTGGATATTTATAGCAGTTTAATTCGAAATTGCCCAGAGTTGGGAACTCAAATGTCCATCAACACGTCGTGACACAACCATTCAACAAAACACTGCTCAGTAATAAAAAGGAATGAACCAAGAGTGTGAGACCAAATCTCAAACACATTAAAAATGAAAGTAGGAAAAAATCAAAAGCTATATACTGTAGGATTCTGTTGGTATGACATTCTGGTAAAGTTGTGTGAAAGAGAAACACATCGGTGGTTGCCAGGGCTTGAGGATGGAGGGAGGGGATTTCCTGCAAAAGGGCCCTGCAAGATCCTTAAATGAGTCAAGCAGCCCAGAGCTTACATACCTCAATTTTCCTAGTTCCTGGAAGACTTCTGTTATATCTTGTGGTCTCCCCACCAAATTGCTGGGGTGGAGACAGAACCTGGGTTTAAATATCAGCTTCCCAACTTTCTAGCTAAGTGACTTTAAAGCAGTCACTTAACCTCTGTTGGAAAAACAAACCTACCAGTTTCACCTACTATACACTCATAACAGATCACTTCTGACATGAGATGCATAGGTGTTTCCCCACAAGCAAACAATTCTGTAGCAGTGGACACCAGCTGGGTGTCCTCGAATTTGATTCAATTCTGACACTATCTACGGGGAGTTAGCATCAGATCCCACAGGTTGGGGGCTCAGTCCCTAAAACTGCTCTTCCCTCTATCTCCCTTTAGATGCCAGTCACAAAGTCTCAGGTGGCTTCACCTGTTCTTCTCACTGACTGGTTATAAAATGAATGTTTCTACATCCACCTTCCTTGGGCTCCATTAATTACTTTGAGTGGCTCTCAGAACTCAGGGAAAAACTTGTGCTTACCAGTTTATTATAAAGGATGTTACAAAGGATGGAGGTGAAAGATGCACAGGGTGAGGTACCAGAAAAGGGGCTTGGACTCCCCGGCCTTCTCCTGGCATGCCACCCTCCAGGAACCTCCACATGTTCCGTCACCCAGAAGCTGTCTGAACTCCTTTGGGTTTTTATAGTTTTAATAGATTGTGTTGAGAACCAAGCAAGGCCTAAATGTTCAGATTCTTCCTGGCTTCTGTGTAGCATTCCTCTCTCCAGGGTATGGGGCAGGACCCTCCTGGACGGAGATCTTGTGACTACCAAGGTAATTAAGAATTTTTTGTTTTGTTTTGTGTACCAGAGATTGAACTCAGGGGCACTCACCCACTGAGCCACATCCCTAGCCCTATTTTGTGTTTTATTTAGAGACAGGGTCTCACTGAGTTGCTTAGCCATGTCGCCATTGCTGAGGCTAGTATTGAACTCATGGTCCTCCTGGTCTCAGCCTCTTGAGCCGCTGGAATTATAGGTGTGTGCCACTGCACCCAGCATGAGCATTTCTTTAAGCCAGCTCCAAGACAAAAGGGCAGGGGAAGATTAGTTTCTATAACTTACCTTGGTAAGAGAAATTCTAGATACAATTTCACAGATTGTGTGACCATCCTTGGGGAGGGAGTTATAAGCCAGGAGCCATGAATGAAAACCAAAAAATATTTACCATCATACTCTTCCAATCTCATTTTCCCTCCAGATCCTTCACATGAATGTTGAAGAGTGTTCAATGAGATTAGTATAAAGCATGTTGCCTGGCTGACCACTTTCCCTGATAAAAAGAGTTAAATAATGTCAATAAACCACCAAATGGCCTTCTTGACTATACCCCTAAATGCACTACAGATTGCTGGTGCATCCAGGCTCTAGAGAAACAATCCTCAAGATGATCCATGAATGTGTACCTGACCTATAAAGAAAGCTCTTCACTCATTCCTTATTTAATTCCTATAATGCCCTGGGCTCCAGAAGGAACTCTCAGCTCCAACCTAGTCAATGTCTAATCTATCCTTTATAAGTGGCTGATGGCAATGGATTTAAGACCTCCCATTCAAGAGGGCCTGCTTAATTCTTCAACCTGTTTTTCATTTCCCTAGTCTTCTCTGTACATTCTTACAAACTTAAATGCCTGTTACCAATTCCACACAGGAATTCTGCCTAACACCATGAAAGTTTTTGATGTCACAATTACATTCAAACCTGAAAATCAACCTTAATGTGGGAGAAATAAGGACTAGGAAAGACTTCTGAGCACTTTGTGAGACATGCAGAATAAGTTGCTAAAAGACATGTATTTATTTATCCAACGATTTCATGAGCATCTGTGATAGGATTACTTCCCTGACCAAGCTGTTCTCAAGATGAAATAAAAAGGAGCCACCACAGGTAGGGGAGCAAAAAGGAATGACCAAGCAGAGACAGAAAAACAAAAAACAAAAAACAAAAAAACAACAAAGCCTTTCAGTATGCTTTCCAAGTTGGCCCCCAACTTTTTAGTGACTTAGTTCACTGGTAATGAGTACAGCTGCAGCTCTTTTTGTCCTCACACATTTATCCTAAGATTCTAGAGAACACTGGTTTGTAATTTTAGATATTCAAATTAAGGCAATTCTGAGATGTCACTGCTGGAAAGTGTCAAAGGGAAAAAACCAAGCCTCTTGAGCCCCCTCCTTTCCCACAGCTAGGATTCTTCACAGTCCACTTTCCTGAGAGAATGATTGCAAAGGAATTTCTTTCAAAGTACTGAACTTCTTTGGAAGAAGAGATTTACATTTTAAATGTTTTTTTCCCCCTTTAAAAATTCCATTTAGTTACTATTGTCAATTTTTGTTTTTCAATTTCTAATTCCTGGCACTGCCTATTCACAATGATTTCTAAGCAAGTACTTCTATACATGGGATCATTTTTATTTCTTCTTAAGGCGATTGGAGATAAATGCCGGGAACAAATTCAGGCAGGGGAAAAGCCGCACATTATTCTGCTGAATGTGCCAAAAGCAGCGAACGTGCCCAATGTTGGATTATCTTCTGCCAACGAGCTCAGATAAGTAAACAGGGCCAGAAAGCTTGATGTGCTATTCCCCCACGGGGATAGTTTTTCTTTCTGGCTGTAACAGTTCCAAAGATAATTCTTTTGTAACGGAATCATAAGAGCTTTTCTCTAATCTGCATAAAAGTTACTCTTCACAGGAGGATTTCAAGATCCTACTCCAGTGAGTTTGGTCTGATGTGACACATTACAGCAAGTATGGAAAGCAGGTTGGGCCTTTGTGTAGGTGCAAATGAAGATGCTGTCCAGAAATAGCACATTTTCCTCCCTCTTCTGTAGCCCCAGGGTTGATCCAATGAGCTTCAGTTATTTTTCTATGAGAATATTCTCCATTTTTCTTTCAGTTCACTTTCCTCTGTATCCCCCATTGTTTTAAAGGGCTTTAAAAGGTCCATTAGAGTAACCTTCCTGTATCTCCTTCCTTCACAGGCATTATCTGCAGTGCATCTCCGCTGGGCTGAGTAGACATTAGTTACGTATTCTCTCACCAGTCCTTTGTGTTTCAATCCCATTGCTGGAAAACATTCATTTTTCCATGTGAACTAGTATCATCCAGGAGAGCTCACCTTTTGTTGTCCTCTAGCACTAGATGATGTAACACATTCTATTTCTGTTTATCACACTCCAGGTTGAGAATGACCTGTTCTAAGGCTTGTCACCTCCCCTCCTTTGGATCGGTTTGGGATTATGTTTTTTCCATTATCTCCACCATCCTATTTCTGGATAACTTGAAGAGCTTTTCTTGTTGTTTTTGTTTTTGTTGTTGTTTTGGTACCGGGGACTGAACCTAGGCAAACATAACCACTGAGCCACATCCCCAGTCCTTTTTTGTATTTTATTTAGGGACAGGGTCTCACTGAGTTGCTTGGTGCCTCGCCTTTGCTGAGGCTGGCTTTATACTCTCGTCTTAGCCTTCTGAGCTGCTGGGAATACAGGAATGTGCGATTTTCTTGGTTTGAACCTTAGCTTTTGGCTAACGACAACTGGAGGAACATCTATATCACCAACCCAAACAGTGTGCAACTGGATTCTGCTTTTTAGCAATCTTGTTTGCTACCTCCTCTTTCTTGCATTCAAACTTCTTAAACTCTTTAAATATGTGTTAGTTCTTTCAGGATTTTCTTGGGTACTGACAAGTGTTTGCCCAGACTGGGAACTCTGTTAACTTGCTTCCTTGTACAATGTCCATACAGTATGTGCCAGAGGTCCTGCCCTCAGGAAGCTAATCTTCTAGTATAAAACCTTGTGGTATGTAGCCAGATTGATAAACATAGTTTAACTGGGTGGCAGCCCTGGGCATGGTAAAAATGGTCATTTCTGCCTTGCTCATGGTCCACGCCAAGCATTCTATTATTAGCTCAATGTACGGCACATGGTACCAAATTTTCTAAAAATCACTATTTGTCTGAAAAGTGTTATTTTTGGTGAGACCAGGGATTGAATCCAGGACTTTGTGTATGCTAGGTGAGTGCTCCTCCACTGAGCAGCATCCCTAGCCTATTTACACTATAAAACATTTAAAATATTGTATCTGAAAGTGTTTGGGTTAAAAGAGACTAAGAGGCTTGACAACTAAATACAATACTTTTATCCTTGGATATAAAATAAAATAGCTATCAAGGCCATTATTGGGTATTTTGATCAGATACTATCATCAGTGTTAAACTTCTTGAGTGTGATCATTTTATCATGGGGACAGAATATTATTTCAAAATATCAGGTATGACATGCCATAATGTAACTTACTCGCAAATAATTCAGAAAGAAATATTTACCTACAGAGAAAGAAGTCCACACACACACACACACACACACACTCAGGAATAGGGCAAGGAATGTGGTAAAATGTAAAATTTGAAGTGACAGGAATACAGGTAGGTGTTCAGTGTGTAATTCTTGCATTGTTTTTTCTGTAGCTTTGACATTTTTCAATAGAAAAAGTTGAGGGGGAAAAAAAGGATTTAAAAAATTATACTTTAAAACTACCACACTCTTTGAAGAGAGAGAGAATAACTCACAAATCAGTTCAGAAACCAAACACAAATACTTCTTTATTTATGGAATATCATTTTACATCAATTCCATTAAAACCTAAAACCAGTTTGCTGTACTCAAGTTAGGTGGCATAACAGTATTTTAGTTAAGCTGGGAGTCACAGGACTTGCACACTTTTATGAATGTAATGCAAATACTGACGACACGAAGCATTCACAGTTATAGGTTAGCTGCTGTTCATTTAACAGTAACCCCCAATAGAATTTATTTTATGAAAAAAGCAACCCACATTTTGGTCTCATTTACAGATACCCAACATTTCAGTTGGTCAATGAATTCTATACATTTATTATACAACATATGAAAGAATAAAGGATAAGGCGTACAGAGGTATTTCAGCAGTTGTAAGAATAAAAACCAAGGGCAAAAACTAACTTTTAAAGCTTTCTGTATAAACTTCAAAAGCACTGTTAGAATGGAGACTGAGAGGCAACAGAAATCCGTTGTTAAACCAGAAATCTAGAGGTCTGTCTAGTCAGATTATAAAAACTTCAGAGAGTCATGCTTCAAAAAGATGCACGTAACATTATAGTGGATGTCTGTAACAAATTAAACAATGAAATTTCTGACCTACTGCAGCAGTAAACAAGTAAAAGTTGTATTCCCCAACTACAGAGTATTGCAATATGGAGTTGAGTTCAAAACACAAGGGAAGAGAGAAAGGGTGTAGACTCAGGTACTAAAGAAAACCCAGAAGAAGGCACCCTAATTTATTTAACATTAGCCCATGCATAAGTGCTTGATGACTCTTCAATTCTGTGTGACTGAGGCAAATTTTTAAGAAGTGTCTGACCCCCTTTTCTCCCCTTCAAAGTAACTACATAAAAATCAAGAAAACAAGGGCAAGCACTCTGTACCAGCAGTCACAGAGGTTTTTTTTTTCAAGAAAGTTTATAGATGATTTGGAGTTTTCAACTATGCAAGATTATCCCTTTGGAATACTTAGTTTAGTATCACATGAGATACTTGTTTTTACTTGAGAGTTCTTCTTATCACCAAAATGTTCACTGTGGATTAAATGAAAAATCTTCCCTTCATAACAACTTTTTTATTTTGGAATAACTGTGCTTAGTGTTTAAAACAAAACTCTAGATGCTAGCACGTTTAAAATAATTTCATCTATGATTTAGATATGTTTTGCACAAAACAATAAGGGATCAAATTTAAGAACTGTGGCCTTTAAAGTGTGATTTTTATGCTTCATTGGGGGTACATCTGAAAATGAATCAATTCTCCATAGATCCAAACCTGCCTATGGCCAGTCAACACTGTACGACACACGCATGAACCCTTTTCAACATGTCAGTCTGAATAGCTGTTGTTTGCCATCAACATTTTCTATTCTTTCCAGATATTAATGTATGCAAATATTCATTTGTAAAGTTAAAAGTGAGACTACAAACAAGGAATGGTTAAGTATGCTTAGTCACTACTGAGTTTTTTAAACTTGTGGTTTATTTCACAGCAAACCAAACCTTATTATTTGGTAGAAAAAGGAAGTAGTTGCATTCTACCACATCATGATTTTGTATATGCACACACACTGTATATACATACAAAATTTCTGTCTTTGGTGGTTTAGTTAGGGAAAAACAAATATGAAAATCTGAACACCGTTTGCAAAGAAACTGTAAAACAGTGGTCAAGAGTAGCATTGTCTGTGTGCTTTACTCATTAAATGCCATTGAAAAGTTCACATTTAATTGAAAAGATTTTTTTGGCCAATAATCCAAACATCTTCCAATCATTACATGCTCATGCCTGGATCTTTCTTACAACTACAGCATCACTTGTTCAAATGCACCATTAGCTCTTCACTTGGTTAAATCATTAGACTTTTGTGTTTTCACAAAACTTTAGGGACTGAGTTAGTCACTCAATAGCACCAGATAGTTAGGGTGAAAACATGTTATCTATACATTTCCTCAAGAAGGCAAGGTAAAAAGAAAAGGAAAGAAAGAAAAAAAGACATAAAATACAAACCTAAAAATACCATCCCATTTACTCATTTCCTCATCCACATAAATAATGGCTATCACCCTTCAGTACAAATGACTCAGGTAATGACAAGTGGCCCCTCCAGGAAAGGTCCTACTGTATGATAGGATTAGCTCAATGCTGGTGGTCTGTTGTCCACTGCCTGCAATGGACACGCTGCCAGGAAAAGCCTAGCATGAAAGAAACAAAGAAAACAAAAGGAAACAGCACTCACTTATAGTATACCTTTTCCCAAAAAACGAGGAAATTAGACACCATGAAAGCTTAACTAAAAATTCAAGCCATAACTAAAAGTGCTCTGCAGTTATAAATTGCCAGCAAACCAGTAGGTTTTCATGGGGGAGGCAAAATAAATTTGACTTTGAGTGGCACAGAAAGCATCAGCAGACCAACACTGGCTACAAGAATGCAAAGGGCGGGGTAGGAGGACCACTGAAGAAAGTTCATGAGAATTTAAACCCCAAATTTCAAAAAAGGTGCATGTTAATTTGTTCCTTTGTACCTATATTCAACCTACTATAGCTTTAACATTAAAAAACAAAAATACTATACCTTGCATGGTGGAAATGATCTGTGGCATGTTACCTGTCTAAGTAGTCAAATAGTTATAACTTTTGTCATTTTAAAAAGCTAATATTGTCAAGTAAACCAAATGATATTTGGCATATGCCATGGAAAAGTTATGACTCCTACCTCCTTCCAGAAGTTGGCCTCTTAAAACAGTATGGTTAATTCTGGCAATGTTTGCTTATGGTAACAGTTGTTTTGTCTTGTTTTCTGAAATGCTACATTTGAGACCAAATAAAGTATAACTGGTTCATTTGAAAAAAGGGACTAGAAATATGCCACAAAATTATTTTTACAATACATTTTTGCAGAAATAATCTCTAGGTGAAGCTTTTTCTTTTTATACACATATACAAAATTTAAACAGCAATATACACATAATCACAGTGAGGACGTTGGCAAATTCACCAATCTGTAGTGTAAATAACAAACTGCAAAGCAGCCTTCCAAGAGAACAATGCTACACAGCAAGCAGAGCTGGCCCATCAATAGCAAACACCAAAACATCCCTGCGAAAGGGAGACAGTGCAAGAAAAGCAGCATGCGCTTTGATACAAACAGCAATTTATGGCTAATGGGTGACATAACTGTGGTAACAGTGACTCTCTCGCTGCTATGCATAAAGTCCTAGGACATCTGTTTGTCTTTATACCACTCCACGAACTCGTCCAATAAAACTGGCCCTGGAGAGAGAGGGAAAAAAAAAAAAAAAAAAACCACAGTGGCTCTAAGGCTTTTCTCGGGGAGGCAGGCAGGCTATGTCCAAGGATGTGGGAGAGGGAGGGAGGGGACACTCTGCACCCAGTACTCACATGCTCCATCTTCATCATAGTTGCTGAGGTCAAGATTAATTGTTCTGCTGAATTCCAGCACATTGCACCACTGGTCTTTGTTAATCACTTTATATTTTGATTGCTGATGGAAGGAAAAGGAATATGATTACACTTAAAATGAACAAGTGAGACAGTTTCAATTCCTGTATGAACTTAATAAACTTCATGTAGAGTTAATCCTTTCCATCTCAAACACTGATGCAGGAGGAAGCAAGGGAGAGCAAGAGTAGAATTTAAGATGACAATTTTCCTTACAAAATATGGGGCGGGGGGTGGGGGGTGGGGAGCGGCAATTCAAGGTGGCAAGAACATCAAAGAAACACAATTTCATATTCCTAGAAGTGAAATTTCTATACTGTGGAAGCTTTTTTATGTAAAATGGCAATGCTACAAGAATTAAGAGAGAACTTATAAATTTATACAAAGCACTCTATCCAGTCCTTGGCACAAAGTGTTACATAAAGAGTAGCTCCCCTTAACAATCCTCAACATGACACGCACAGCTCACTGCCAAGCTGCTGGCTTGAAGCACATGCAGCGGTGGGTCACTTGATGAGAACTTGTTATCAGTGCTACAAGTGACCTCAGAACTGGGGGCCCTTGCCACTGAAGAAAATTACTATTCAAATAATTAAGAACTTGAATCTGATCATAAAAGAAACTGGAATAGCTATGAAGTAGTTCCTCAAATCCTCTTAGACAAGAAATATGCTATATAGGCTTTTTAAAAAATATAGTATTCCTAAACACAGATTTTAAAATAAAATCCACAACCAATAATTTTTAACTCCTCACCACTAAAATATAGGAAAATACAAATGCATAAAAAACAAAGAGAATTAATTAAGTCAATAGTTTTGAGGATACAAACATAAGAAAAGCTAGAATCAAAGGATCACTGTCTCCTTTTAAAAGAAAATGCAAATTTGTATAAGAGCAAAGCACAGACTACAAGTTTACCTTTCTAAGCAAGTGGAATCAAAGAACAGTTTGAAACAGCTGGTAATGATCCTGGGATTGTGCAACATCAAGTTTCCTCACAGCCAGGTCTTTCAGTAAGGACCCTTCACACTCAGCTCAACTCCTGCTCAGTAAACTAAAAGCGAGAACCTAGTTCCGTCTTTGTTCCAAATAGTGAGCTTGTATCTCACAGGTTTGTCAGATAAATGACAACAGACCGGACATGGAGGGGACCATCATATAAATAAATACTTACATTAAAACCAGTTTTTATAACTTTCTTGAGTCCCAGAGATAACAGTCCTCAAAGAATTCTATCAATTGTTAGGTTCTTCTGGACCGTTGTCCAGTTGTCAGAAAGATTATTAATGCAAGAGGGAAGCTGGAGTCAGGGAAGATCTAGGATCTTCTCCAAGACCCAACAACGTCTATGGTGTTCTTGCAAGCAAGGGGCATTTTTAAAAGGGCTTGGGGCAAGAGGGCAAGGAGAATGCCATAGATAGCCCAAGTAACTCAAATATTTCAGACACTTCCAGGTGCAGCAGCAGGACATTTCAACAAAACCAGCTCCTCATAACCAGCATCTCAAAAATTCTGATCATCAATACTTAAAGCAAACAAAGATTGATGGAGTAGTGCTGGTTGTTTCTAATACACATCTGAAGAAAATTTAAACTGAAGGCGACACTGTCAGTTTTCTCAATACAGTACTTAAGTTGATCTAAATTCCCCAAGTGACTTGGAGATAAGAGTAAATAAGAACAGATTACAAATTAATTTTGGTAAGAAGGCAGATGGCTGTTTTTTTAACTTTTGCTTATAATCAAAGCTCGAAATTCATCTAAAGCCATTAAATAAAGAAAACCTTGTTTTTCTATTGTTATAAAGAGCAGGCAACTAAGCAGCCATGAAGCTTTTAAGACTGGGCTCATACAAAATAAATTTAAAAAAAGAAAAAACTGGGCTGAGAGGGGCGAGGCAAGGACAGAGCTGCAGCCGCACGTGATGCACTGTAAGGCAGAATGAGGCTCTGCCAAGCAATGTGGACGGACGAGCTCCAGAAGACAGGGAGTGCTGACTGACAGCAGTTATGGCACCATGTTTACTATGAGTGATAAAGTACGACAAACAAAAATTACACAGAATGGTTAAGGAAAGTATAGTTGGTAGTTCTAAGCAAGCAAATATACATTTCATAAAATAACAATTTGGTACCTCTAAGAATTGGTGAAAAACTGGAAAAAGGGGCCAGATTTTTCCTAATAACAGTCCCAACATGCACTTGGCAGTGTTTATGTCTAGGCTGCGCTGGTCCTTTTCCTGTTTAACAAACAAAAACAAGGATGAGCCAGATGCCTCCAAATAATAACTTCCAATAATCCAAATTTATATTTCACTTCAACAAGAAAATTTCAAACAACTCATTTACCATACACCATAAAAAACCAAATAGAGACTAAGGCAGGGAGAAGGAGAGTAAGTAATATACACAGAAGTCTTGATTATTTTGATATTATATAAATTTATTGTAAGAAAGATTCATGTCAATTGAATGATTACCCTAATGCAAAATTAATTATGTAGCAGTATCTACAATCATTTCATTGAATAAATAAAAATCTATAACTAACTTGCTTGTTTGACACTTATGATAATTATAAAAATCATAATTGTTGATCCTGAAGCCTATACTTAACTAAATGGAGTGTAAAGGTTTGATTGCCATGCTTAGGAATCAGGTTTCCTTAATAAAAATCATTTTCCCAACAATTTTATTTCATGGGGTAAACATTTTTCTTGTACCTAAACATGCTGGAATTAAATTCCACTTAAAATAAATGCTGAGCCCTGGAGATTCTCTCCTCATCAGAGGATGTATTCAGCCACCTGTGCTGGGGGAAAGCAGGATGTCTATCATTACAATCCTTCTTACCTTGGATTTCTTAGCAGATTGTCCCTAACGAGTAACCAAGTGAAAGACATTTCATAAGGAAACCACAAAAGAAACAAATAAAGGTAGATTATGTTCACTCATCTTTTGCAATTAAAGATCCTAATTTCTCATTTCATCTTTCTTATAAGTTTCCATTCTAGAACTACAAATGGGCAGTTTACATGAAAGGAATCGAGAGGGTCTGGGACCACAATAATACCTTACACATCCAAAGCTAGCCTCCATGTAGTACCTGAACTGTTGAAGAAATTTACAAGAGTGTTACAAAGGAAGGATGTGCTTGGCTACCCCAAATGTGCAATTTAAATGCTCACCACATTAAGGGAGGATGCTGTGACCACCCTCATCTGTTACATATGCAGCCACACATACTTTCCAACTCCACCAGTGAAGTGCTCTTTGGTACACAGTAAATTTCTACACAGGGTACTGACTTTAAAAGAGAACTTAATCAGCGAATGTTAAGAGCCTCACACAATAGCAAATGAGGGAGATGAAGATACAGAAACATGCTGCTAAGGAAAATGTCTAATAGGTCTGTTTTGTTCTCAGTCATATAGTATAATGGTCAATTCAAATGGCACTGTGTCACCCTTCTCTGTTAGAGGCCACCCAACTCAAATCTGATGATGGCAGGGGCATCCCAATTCCACAATTCTACACAAACAGGAGGCCTCTTTCTCACAGCCTTCTCTGCCTGTCCCTTGGCCATGCAGATGGTCCTGCTAGGGCTGTAGTACTCACAAAGGAGAAGAGGACAGTAGTAGAAGAGGTGACTTAGAGATTGTCTTTTACCAAACAAGCCTCCTTGGCTTGCTGCATTTGTGCTTATGCTTCTGTGAAACACTGTGAAAGCAAATGGGAAACATCCCTTAGCCTGTAACAGGTGTGGCAGACAGCAACAGCACACCACACCATGAAGCAATCCACAAGAAAAATGAGTAAATTTTTGAGAAGCACACGCGGCACCACAGGACCAGGCCAAAGTCCATTTGTCAAAAGTTCACGAAGCACTGGGCTGATGGCAGTCGTGCTTTAAAGAGCTTTCCTTTGCAGAGTTTGTCATCATTCACCAAATCCCCAAATCTCTAGTCTGGCTGTGAAATATACCGGGCCTTCTTCCATCATCATCAGTGCCTATGCCCCCATCACAACAGACATACACTAAGGTGACAAAAAAGAAAAGAGATACAAAAGGACCTGGACAGACTCTTTGCAACAATATAATCATCCGACAAACTGATGATCATGAAGGATTTCAACGCGTGTTTGGCAGTGATGCCAGAACATGGAGGAGAGGCATCAGACTCACAGGACCGGAGAGCTGAACAGCACTCACTCACTCCTGCTCTGCAGGGTGCCAGCCAGCAGCTCATCACTAACACCATCTTCTGCCTAGCAAATAAGAGAGAGATATTATGGATGCACTCACAGTCTGAACAGTGGCATCTCACTGACAACCAACAGTGCCTGTGTAGGGACTTGTACCTAAGTGCAAATGACCATAACTGGAAACACTCAAAAATTCCTGGGAACAACACAGTTGAGAGAGCCCACAGCAAATGCCAACTAAACATCAAAATGGAGACACTCCCCAGGGTTCTCTGACTACAATGATCCCTAAGGGAATTCTCTGCAAAGAGGTTCCAAATTTAAAAGTGAAATGAACTTCCCAGGATGCTATCAGGCAGCCATCAACATTATGGGCATCAAAAAGAAAAAAAAAATCACCTTAACCATTTCAAGGAGTACAGCAAAGGAATCCAAAAAACTCTTTGCAAGAAATTAAAATAGTACACTGTGCACATCAATCCTGTAACCTTCTGTTCATGCAGCACCAAGAAGTAAGGGACAGACCAACAGATTTCTGCATCCCAAGGTCAGTATCCAAGCAGAAAGTACCTTGAGAAAGCCTGTCAAGAGCCAGCCAGCATTTCCAGAAGGCCCATCCAGGTTAAAGGAGAGAGAAATGAAGACTTTTCTTCCTACCTATCTCTTAACACAAAATTTATATGTGTGTTTACTAAACCTTAATTTTCTAAATAGAAAAAATAATTTTGAGTCATTTCTCAAATAATAATAGAAAATGAACTATTTTGGACAAACCAATCCTGTACAATACACAACCAGATTCTCACTGTCCTCCTTAAACATGGATTAAAGGCACAGCAGGATGGAAGGGATCAAGCCTTTAACAGTGCAGCTAAAAATCAAAGGATCCCATTAGAAATAGTGGAAGAAGTTATACTTTATATGTGGAATAAATGCACCCCTGAAGCTGAAGACTAATAACAAACAATGTAGGATACAGAATAAAGAGGTTTTATTAAGGTCTGATTTAGAACTCTAATTTTTCAAAGAGTGCCTTTGTTTACATAAGACTGTTCCAGTGCAGTTCTTTCCTAAAGTGGAACAAATGAATTAAAAAATAAAAATGGAAATAAAATTTAAAAAGTTAATTATAAATGCTAAATGTAAAGTATGTCACAAAAATGGATCTTTAAAAAAACTTCCAATTTTCATTAAGTTTTAATAGCTTGAAAATTATATGAAAAAGAAGAACCTTTTATTAAAATTATAATTAAAAAAAAAAACTTAGCAGAAATAAAGTCCTGCAGCTTTTTAAGAGATACTAATTGGACTCAAGAAAATATATATTAGTTATTGTGATTCCAAAAATAAATGGTGAAGACGAAGTTAGAAATTACATGTGAAATCAAAAGGCCTCAAAAGCCTTATGGCACGCATCACATGAGACCACAGAGAAAATGCAGTCCTCCTTAATACAGCTACCTACATCAACAAACATCAGGTAAAATAGGCTCTCAAGGCTTCAATCTTAAACACTGTGGTTCAGTTTTAGAAACTAAAAATACAGCAAAGTAGCTTTTGCATGGGTTAAAAACAAAAAGTAAAAAAGCAGAAAGTCATAAAATCCAAAAGTACCCGCCCTCCTGTTGGTGGAAAAAACATATCTAAAATAATTATGCTCTTAGAACTAAGCCAACAATATTTTATGAATAACAATATTTGCAAGGCAATTTACTAAGCTCAATTTTTTTTTTTTTTTGGTACTGGGAATTGAACCCAGGGGCACTTAACCACTGAGCCAATCCCCAGCACCCACCTGCCTTATTAATATTTTATTTAGAGACAGGGTTCTGCTGAGTTGCTTAGTATCCCACTAAATTGCTGAGGCTGGCTTTGAACTCATGATTCTCCTATCTCAGCCTCCCAAGCAGTTGGGATCACAAGCGTGCACCACTATACTCAGCTAAACTCAACTCTTGACACTTCCTTTAAAACAGAAGAGAAGTCTGTTGAAAGGCACTTTGCTTATTATTTTGTTTGGTACAATCATATTCTACTATATTTAATAAGCACTACTCTCAAAAAACAAGTCATTATTGAAACTTGAGATCTGCAACTCCCTTACTTCTAATTATATGGTTAACTTTTACCTTGAACCAGTGAGTGTACTGTTTCTTAAACTCTTTTAATACCATTAGGATAGGAGCAATTATTATTATTCCTGATTTATAAATAAAGAAACTGAGGCAGAAGAACTTAAATAATCATCAATATATAGTAGAGATGGAATTTAAGCCAGGAATTCTGATTCCAAGCCTGAGCTCTTTCATATAATACCATCTTGCTTGCTGGGGTGGTAAAAAAGGAAGAACAATTGAAATATTAAGAGATAAACAGAGGCCAATTAGTTTAACTGCTGAGCAAATCTGAGTGGCTCTGCAACAGCCAAAGAGGAATCTTAAAACTAACAAGATTGTTAGGGGTAATGGGCCTGCAATTAAATGACTACTTCATATTACTTTTATTCCTGACCTCATCTGGGCTTACCTTCTGTTTTCCTTATATTTACAATGAAATGTGAGGAGAAAGGGGTGGGGGGAGAAAGAGACACACAGAGAAGCACAGAAAGAGAGAGAGAGAGAGAGAGAGAGAGAACATGTGCACACATGTGAGAGCCTGTGCTGGGGGTTGTAGAGAAAGGGAAACTAGACAGTAAGTGAAAAAATGCTTCAAATTAGAAGAGAAAGTAATTCCAAATGTTCACAGACAAAAGTGAATGGCAGGAAGAATTCTCTTGATATACCAGGAATTGCTGAACACAGGACCTAGCAAGTTTCCTTAGCAAATTCTGTCAGTAACATCCATAATCATTTCTAGTTCAACTGTTATTTTTCTTGGAGGAAGAAGGTACTTTGGCTTTATGTGTCCTCTTAAATCTTCCTGAATCATCCTCAGAGACAATGAATAGAAGCCAATGGCACCTTCTGTTGGAATAGTGAGAACATCAAGAAACTAGTTTGATCTGGTAACAAACTCACTTGTCAAAAAAGCATTA